TCGGAGGACCGTTGCTGTCGATCGGAGATCTGCTCGCCGATCTCGTTGAAGATACCGTTGAATCACCGGAAAACGGACCAAATCCTGAAAGTTGTTCGAAACTAGATCCTGATTCCATCTCTGGACCGTTGGATCTAACCCGGCTCTTTCAGGTCATTCTTCTAATCGGGTTTTTTTTTTCTTTTCCTTTTTAGCGTATTATACGAGAATTTGCCTTCAGTTCCATGATTCGTAGCTCCTATTTTCATTTGCATTCTGTGGAATTTGTTCGGTTCTGTACCAGAAATCTCTATAATTCTTCATTCGGAATACCATTGAGTTACGCTTCATTGAAATCGGAATTTTATGCATCATTCATTCTGTTTTGATTTGGAAATTTCCTACACGTTTCAATTATTCATCCTAGTAAGTGATTCATTCTTGTAACTCTTACCTTACGGAGCAGTTGTTTCGTTTCAGGAAAACTATGATAAACTAAACACTGCGTTTGCTGCTTCTGATCACTCATGGACCTCTCTAACATTGGAGGTAATTTGAAACCTTCTCTTTTGGGACTTAGCAAGAGACATGTATACACAAACTAATCTTGTACTTGCTTCTCCGCCCTTCGATTTCAGCTTTGCACTTCCCTAGAAACTGGAAACAAGTTGGTCCATGCCACCACCACAAATGCTAGATTGTTGTCAGAGAAGGTTGAAGAACTCGAGAAAATAGTGAAACGAGGAGACTCTGCAGTGGCAGCTGCGAGAATAGTTCACGCCACGGTTAACCAATTACCCTCTGCGTGACAGTTAAGACGTATACCAATTAATGTTTTACCAAGGTACAAACCAACCTATTGGGTTCTATTAAGTCCTTGAAAAAGATTTTCTTAATTGAATCTACATATCCTGAGAGATGGAAATATACAATCTTCTGACATTTAGTGATTGAGCAAGCATATAATAAATTTAATTATTGGAGAGTGTAGGGTTTGCTTCTAACAATATGATAAGGTCTGGATATACATATATATACAATTTGGTTGAGAAAGAAGTGTGAATGTGTCTTCAAAAAAAAAAAAAAACAAGTGTGAATGTGACCACACCTGTTTGAAGCTGGAAATCTTCTTCTAAACTAAATTCAAATTGCGTCACTGCTTCTATTGTTCAGATTAATAAATCTGGTCTGGAAATTGTGAGGACGAGTCGGAGTTATTGTTGATTATTTTTTTGATGTGATGTCTCTTGGAGGATTTTATTAGTTGTTTTTAAATAATGACATTTAACCAAATCTCAGTAATATCTTGTTTAGTTTTTTTCTCGTAGGCCAGCTTCTCTGCTCAGCAAATCTGGCAATATGCATATTCATTTTATTTTCGTACAGGTTTTTCTGTTTGTTTAGGTTGTCCCTAATCTGGTGAGATTGGAGGTCGATGGTTTAGTTTTCAATATAAGTATAGATTAGTAATATAGGACTAACAATTCTCACTTGTTTTGTTTATATTTTGTCCATTTGTTCTGTACTAAGCATGGATTAGTAATATTGAACACAGTGGTCCTGCTGCTTCTTACAGGGACCACATGTTGTTCAACCTCCTTGAAAGGGGACCATTTAGATTTGACTTCAAAGATTTTCTTCGAAAATGGAACATTTAATCTCTTGGTCCCACTACATTCTGTATTAACTCTCCTTGGAATACCTTCAAGTCAATGTCCATGGATTATCCCTACGATGACTTGCTGGATCTCTACTTCTCCAACACACCTGCCACAGCTGGAAGCACAACCGCTGCTGCCACCATTTCCTCGTGTGAGGAACATGGCAATAGCTCGAATGATTGGTCTCTTGACATGGATTGGGACTGTGACTACCGTGACCTTATTGAATCCATGATGGATGATGAAGGGGCCATGATGGAATCTCCTCCAATGCTGTCTTGTCACAATGCCCAGGAAGGAGCTTGTAACTCCGCGTCCACGGGTTTGTCCACGGCTTATGGGGTTGATGTAGAGGAGGAGCCTAAACTTGATGAATCGAAGGGCTTGAGGCTGGTTCACTTACTGGTGGCCGCTGCAGAGGCATCAACTGATGTGAAAACTCGGGAGCTAACTCGGGTTATACTTGCAAGGCTAAAGCGCTTGGTTTCTCCCAGTGACCGAACCAACATGGAGAGGCTAGCTGCTCACTTCGCCAACGGCCTATCAAAGTTGCTCGAACGAGCTAACCAGCAGCGTCAGGCCGGTCCTCACCAACAACGTGACGCTTATGATCAGTCGGATGTTATCTCGGCGTTCCAACTGCTGCAGAACATGTCTCCCTACGTCAACTTCGGTTACCTCACTGCCACACAAGCCATTATAGAAGCTGTGAAGTATGATCGGCGAGTCCATATTGTGGACTATGATATCACAGAAGGTGCCCAGTGGGCCTCACTGATGCAGGCCTTCGTGTCTAAAAATACAGGCCCGTCCGCGCAACATCTTAGGATCACGGCTCTGTCACGAGCCACCAACGGTAAGAAATCCATTGCTGCTGTCCAAGAGGCTGGGCGGCGACTAACTGCATTCGCCGAGTCTATCGGGCAGCCATTTTCATACCACCACTGCAAACTCGAGACCGACACATTCAATGCTTCGTCTCTGAAGCTCGTTAGAGGAGAAGCAGTGGTGATCAATTGTATGTTGCATCTGCCTCGATTTAGCCACCAAGCACCCAATTCCCTCATTTCTTTTCTATCGGAAGTTAAAACCCTAAACCCTAAACTCATAACACTCGTCCACGAGGAAGTTGGTCTGATGGGGAACCAAGGTTTCCTGCACCGGTTTATGGACTTGCTACATCAGTTCTCAGCCATGTTCGACTCTCTAGAGGCAGGCCTCTCAATCGCTACCCCGGCCCGCGGCTTTGTTGAGCGTGTTTTTATTGGTCCATGGGTTTATGGTTGGTTGACTCGTATTACTGATGATTCAGAAGTCGAGAGTTTTGCTTCGTGGCCACAGTGGTTAGAGGCTAATGGGTTCAAAGCTGTGGACGTGAGCTTCGCCAACCGTTGCCAAGCAAAGCTACTTTTGAGCTTGTTTAACGATGGCTATAGAGTGGAAGAATTGGGCCAAAATGGGCTCGTTTTGGGATGGAAATCTCGGCGTCTTGTGTCGGCCTCTTTTTGGGCCTCGCCCGAGTCGAATTAGTAAATTCTCACTTCATGGTTTATGAACATCAATTATGTAAATATGGAACATCTTGATTGTTAAATACACACAAAACGACATTGTTTATTTTAGTCATGAAAAGTGATGGTACTACGAGCCTACGACTGTATTCCAAGACTGTATAGTTTGGCAAGTTGTTCCCATGTTTGGTAGTTTTGTTTTTGGCTGATGGGTTTCAACCTATTGTGGTTGAGCTAGATAAAGCTTTTGTACTTTGTTTACCACGTTTAAATTTTGTAAATTTAATATTTTTTTCTTTTGTAACCATTTGAATTATGCTGTATTTTTTGTGATTGATTTAAATAATAAATGATTGTTTAATTTGAAATGCACAAAAAGTAATAACATTAGAATTTCTTAATTTGTGTGTAACATCCTTCAAGTAATAGTACGGAAGGTGTATAATTCACTAACTAACTGAACGCATTAAGATCTAATGCTATAATTTCTCCACATCATGTTTTTTTTTTTAACTAAATTGCTAATTAAAAATTTAATTTGGTTATCCCTTGATGAAAAGAAAAGTAATGGATTTGAAGCATATGGGCTGAATTAAAAAGCCCACTTGAAACTATAATGGTTGGGAAAAAATGCAGCGGCGAAGACCAGAAATGGCGGCAGCGATATCAGCGACTTGGGCGTTTGCCGGAAGACGATTGGGATCCTCTCCACCTCTGTCCTGTAGCTTGTCTTCTTCAACTCCGAACACGAGAAGAAAGCTTGTTCTGTACTCGAAACCAGGATGCTGTCTCTGCGATGGTCTTAAAGAGAAGCTTCAAGCTGCTTTCTCTCTCTCCGCTCCCGATTCACTCCACGACGTTGTTCTTCAGGTCTCAAACAAAATCTATTGCCTTTGGATTGGGATTTAGTGGATGCGAAAAATTCATGGGTTAATGTGAATTTTGATTGTGTATTGTTTAGGTTAGAGATATTACTACGAATCCTGAATGGGAAAGGGCTTATCAGTATGAGATTCCAGTCTTAGCTAAAGAAAATCCTGATGGTAAAGAGGTGATTTTGATTACTAAGAATCTCCAAGATTCAAGCTTTTTTTTTTCAGTTGTTGTAATTATGGATTTTGCAAGATTCATATTCGTTGTTTATGGCAGGAAATATTGCCAAGGTTGTCTCCACGTCTAAGTGTGGAGATCATACAGAAGAAGCTAGTTACTGCATTTACTTGATTTTCAATTACGTGCACGACAATGAAAAAAAAACAGAGAAGAGAAAACGTGTGTAAGCAAGCACTTGTACTCTTATCTACAAGAAAAGACATTCATATCTGATTTTTGTTGTTGTTTCTCAGTGGAAATATGATTGCTTTATATGCTGATTTGCTTCTGACCATACTTTTATTATCTACTTTCTTATTGTGTTTGAAATTGCTTTGTTTCTTTGACTAGTCCATTAACCTGCATGACTCCATGAGTGATTGGTTGTAGTAGTAGCTATGTTCTCC